AATTCAACTTCCCACTGAAAAAGATGCTCGTTCAAATCTCGCTAGAGGTTAATTGTCTATTTCTATCTGCCTTACTGACTGATGATCGATCGTAGAATAACAGTCGCGTAGTTGTTAACAAAAGTAACAGGAAATTAATATGAAAGAAATATTAGTCCAAAAACGACTAATAATTGTCTTATTTCAGACGCAAACATCAACGATCATCTGTAATACAAGAGACTCTTGAGCGACTGATTTATTTCGATCCTGGTGTAGAGCGAAAGAGTGAGAATTAGAGAGAGAGAGAGAGAATGTAATGATTTGTTATTCGTTACATTCGATGTTTCATAAATTTGCGCTAAATTTGGTTGACTAATAAATTGAAATAGTAGTATTCGCTAAAAAAGTTCTTTTCCATCAAAACTAAGTAGAATTAAAATTAGGTTCTTTCAAAAATTCGCTGAATTATGCACTCAAAACAGCAAAAACAAAATATCGTCAAAATTTTTGTGTTATTATTAAGAGCTTTCCTCTTTATAATAATACAAAGGTTTTTCATGTAAAAATTATCATTATCATCCTTTTTCGAACTTTGGAAATTTTGGTAAAATATATTGTTTTTTTTTTTTTTTTTTTTTGCTTCAAAGCAGGATCTTAAAATTGTACGGGAAATTTGAGCGTTTTTATTTTCAGTTAAAAACATTTTTCATTTGGAAATTCTTGCAAATATCAAATAATTGTCGGATTTTAATAAAACTTTCAGTACCTATTCAGGAATGAATGCTTTAAATGTTTCTTTTCTTTTTTGCCTTGTAAAATATTTTATCTGTTACACCACCCATTTAATTTTCATGAAATCTCGAGAAATTCTTCTTTTATGGCTTAATGTTGATATTTGTTATAAGGACAAGAATTGCGAGAATCTTTTTGATCAAACTGGACGCCCACTAACATATAATCGAACCTGAATAGTAAAATAATAAATGCAATAAAAGTAAAACAATTTTTTATATTTATTAAAGCTTTTAACTGATTTTAAGAATAAAATATATTATGGACACTATTGAATGTTGATGTATGATGAAGTTTTTTATAAGAATTGTTTTCATTTTTTAAAGTTTAATTAGAATAATTTATAAACTTTTAAATCTTTTAAAACTTTGTATTAATTTGTAGTGAGCAAGTGATATTATGAAATTAAAACTGTATTTACCACTTATAAATGGGAACTCACATTACAATTTAACGACCCCCAGTATTTAAAACAATAATTTTATTGTTTTGTTAGTGCGTAAAATGTGTTGATTTTTGTAAATACTGACGTCCACGCACGATATTATCAGACAATAGTAGAGATATCTATACTAAATGTAAAATTCATTGGTAATTTTCTAACATTTCCTCAACAAGCACTTTCGTAATTTACGATATAAAAGCAAGGTACTCAACATTCAATAAAATATTGTTTAGAATATTCCTTAAATGTTTAATATTACTGTCTTGATAAAAAATATATGTAAAATAGGCGTCGATTTTGTATTTGTCAAATAATTTGTTTTTCAGTTAGTCTCCCTTTTACTTATATTTTTCCAAACATCATACTGTTTATAAATCACTCAACACGTCAGAAAAAAGAACCCAGAACGTATTAAAAATTATTTTCTACAACTGAACTAAATGTAAGGAATATTTGTTTGAGTTCATATTAATTAAATTTTAACAGATAATCTTACTCAAAAAAGTTTCAGAAAAGTATATTTTCTTTTTCTTTTTCTTTTAAGATTTTGTGTTGACAGATTTGTCGATATGGATGAATTTACGTATTTTACTGATAAGGAAAAAAATTCCAGTCAATTTAAATTTGGTTTGAAGTATTTTGCTTATCGACAATATTAAATTTAATCTATTAGCCTGTTTTTAGGAAAACATTCTCTCATCGCAATGTTCAGGGGGACACAGTACACGAAGAAGTCCGCAGTGTTTTGTCAATAAAGAAACCTTTTCCGAGCAGCTTTCTAATAAAAAAAAGGCATATTGCAAGAGGGATGTAGTCAGTTATGATCCTCCACAACTTCTTTCTTTAATATGTGTACTGCTAAGAGTAGCTTCCTGTTGCTTTCTCTGCTGTTGAATTCTAAATTGACCTCGTACCATACACGCAAATTCATCATACCTATGCTATTTCATAAATGAGAAAAAAAAAATTGGGGTTTCATTTTTATTTTGATTTCTTCACGTTTGTCAAAGATAGAATTTTAAGAAACCACAACCTGAATTGAGAAAAGCTTAAAATGTATTTTTGAACAGTTCTTCGTAAAAGATACAAAAGAAATAATTTATTATTATTATTATTTAAAAATTCTATTTCGCCTGCATTTGTTTTATAATCTCATTCTGGGTCATAACTGATGACCTTAGGCAAACTAAGGTTGGGATTTTTGTTGTTTCTATTTCATTAAACAAAAGACAGCTATTTAAAAAAAATAAACTTAAATGAACAAAGCTCTTCGATGCATACGAGCTGTGCTTGTTAGAATTCATTTTGGATTTCCTGGAGAGACGGTGAAGCAGTGATTTTGTTCATTTGTTATTGTGTTCCTTTCTTTACCAGACTCAAGCTTCATTTTGTTATCAGACGCCACAAGTGAAAGGATTTTTTTCTATTTCCATCTCTAGGTCTTTGTATTTGCTTAGTTTTTCAAAAACCTTTGCAGAGATGTTTTTGCAATTTTTCTGTCTTTGATCGTAGTGTCTGGGCGATTTTTGTTTGTATTGATCAATCTGTGTTGATAGAAAAAGTTCAATCCCTCAACTACAGATTCAGGATGATGTTCATACAAGTTTGCAGCTATTTTATCCCGTATTGATGACAGATCTTTCAATGAAGTCATTGACCTGACCTGTCATGGCGGTTTTTGTACTTCTTGGATGCGAGTATTAAGTATCCCCAAAGAAAATGATCAATGGTTTCAATGTTTTTGGTTATAGAACCTACATTTTGGGTTCGTACTATTATGCAAGATATTAGCTTGGTAGTTGCGTGTAATCAGGCTCTGGTCCTGTGTAGCAAGCATAAACCTTTCAGTCTCACCCTTAAGTCCTGAACTCCTTATCCACTGGTGGGTTGCATGTTTAGACATGCTTATTTCTCATTTTCAAAAGAAGCTCCCTTACAGCCATATCAATGTTGCCTACTTTCACTTTCACTCTTCAGGTATTTCTCCTTTCATAGTTGTATTATTTACATATTCTTTTTTCAAATTCTGCTGTTTCATGGTTCTCTTCAGTTATATTTTTATCTCCCTCATTCGATTTGCCAATACTCATCAGGTTGTTGGGGCCTACAGCAGAAAATTCATGTTCTCATCTTCAGTCTACAGCTGTTCTTCGTCTATTTAATTTTTTTATTTTATTAATATAACATCTTTGAGGCAGTTTTGGTTTATAATATACTAGCAGGAGAGCCCGGCGTTGCCCGGGGATGTAACAGTAAGAGATAGATCAAGTATCGACCATCATAAAGACTGAAAAATAAAATTGACAAAGATTATTGTTTAAGGTTGACGGACAAGGATGTCTTAATTAGTTTTTTTTTTTTTATGAATGGGTCAAAACCAAACTCAAACAAAAACATTGTTTTCAATCGTTATGAGTCTATCGATTGAATAGAATTTTATTATAAACAATTGTGTTGCAAATGGAATTTTTAAAGCATTCTGAATGTAAAAATAAAGAAAAAAGTGTGCAAGACAATAAGAAACACTACCTGCCAAAAAAAGTGAAGTTTTGTTGAAATCGGTTGAAAAATGTAGGAAATCCGATCCATACGAATAAACGAACACACACACACACACACACACACACACACACACACACACACACACACACACACACAAACAACTTGGGTTTTATAATAAGTATAACTCGATATGAGTTGCCCCCCTTTCATTTTGGCGACTGAATCGTGTTTTATCGTGTTTTCAAATTGATTTCGTGCAAAAACAATTGTGTTTTTCCAATTTTTGGTGCTGTCAGAACCACCGCAAGCTAATTTTACGCAGTCCTGTGAAGTTTTGCTGAAATCGGTTTAAAAATGTAGGAAATCCGGTCCAATATATAAACGTACACACACACACACACACACACACACACACACACACACACACACACACACACACACACACACACACACAATCTGCGTTTTATAATAAGTAAGATCATCTGACATTTGGTAATTTGTTTGGGTGTAAATGTTTTCCCTTGTCCTTATTTCTTTTACTTAACAATTGTTAGGTATCTTTAGTCTGTTTTGTTCCTGGATTTGTTTAGTGTAAAATAGAAACAATACATCACTTCTTTATAATCTTCCCTCGTGCATTTACCTTTTTTTTTTAATTTCTTTTAATCTCTGCCCGATGCTAAACCTGGAGGGCCAGAATTAACGGTGACATCGTTCTAGTGTAATTATATATAAATACTCACTTCTCTTATTACTATTTTTATTGTATTGGTTTTATTTTTTACCTTTGCTGCTGTTGCTATTATCCTGGTTGTTTCTAATGTAATTTTAAATAACCTTTCGTTTAAATTCGGCGAAATAGTCTTTCTAATTTCTCTTTATTCTAATAAAGAGAATTCAATTATAAACTGATCGGCTTATTATTTATTTGACTTTATTATTTCATAATGCAAAACAAAGTTGTATGAAGGAGAGAAAAGAATTGGCAGAAATATCATATTGATGAAAAAAGAATTAATTGATTTCTCTTTTTTGTTGTTTATCAACCTTTTTCAGGTTATTTAAAGCCAGAAAATATTTTTAGATTGTAAGATTTTTTGGGAGACAATAATGACTGAATGATACAAGTCCTACTAATTAACCCATAACAGGGGGAGAGGAGGTGGATTACAAGGGTAATTGCGTGTAAGTGAATATAATGAACCCGATTTGAATTAAAACTCGGCTCTCCGATTTACAATTACGAGCCGTAATCTATTACACTAACCGCACATCGATGATTACAGCACCTGGTATTTCCAAGCGGTCCCCCATCGGGGTACTGACGATGCTTGACGTTGTTTAACTTCGGTGATCGTGCAAGTACCGGTGTTTCAACGTAATATGGCCATAAGCCTATTAATACACAACGGCTGAAGCGAAAATATGAAATTTTAAATTTGTTAGTTTCATTGCACCTCAATGAAGTAAGGGGTTGGGGAGGAAAATGCTGTTTTTTCGCTTTTTTTTATTCCCTTGCTCTTCTTTCTCTCCTTCTTCTCCTGTGCCTTTACCCACTGTTTTTTATATCCTGAAAGTCTCTATTCCATATGGGGGAGAGGACGAAGGGAAAATACAATAACTGTTAATGTCACTATTAATTAGTGAAAATATCTCGGCGTTGGCAACCTGGTGACGAAATGGAAATTTAACAATCTGTTTATGACGCTCATCGAGGTCGTAGGTGGGGAAGGACCTGAAATTAATTTCAATATTAACAACAGAATAAAAATCAAGTACACGGAAGTTAAGATAGAGTTTTTCTTTACAATAATTTTCACCCCGCATAAGGCCCAAGAACCAGGTAGAGGGTTTCATTGTAAGAGATAAGTGGCACAGTCTAAGAGGATGTGGGGGAAAATAACGGTTAAGTCTAGACTTGAAGCGGTAACGACTGTAGTGATGGAGGAAACATCCTCTTTCTAACACTTTCGCCCCGGTCCCTCAACCACCGGCGTCTTACTCTCGGGGTTGAGGTGTCTACTCGGTCCTAACCGAAATTAAGGGAGTGGTCATAGGTCCACTGAGCATCCGTAGATTATTCAACCGGTCCGCTGGTTTAATCCTGCTTCCTGCCCACGTTGTGATTTGTTTGATCCAGAAATCAGAAGTGATATCCGTTCATTCACGGTCGACTGAAGATGTAGACACGGCTGGGGAGAAATTTAGAATGCAGCAAAAAAAAAAAAAAAAAAATTAATATCTGCTGAAAGCCGGACAAACATCGATTCAATGGTTGAATTGTTAATATCTTTTATATAGGAGAAAAGAATAGTAGAGAAAAGAAACGGGTTACAGAAAAGAAAAGTAAAAAAACTCATACACTGGATTCTAGACACACACACACACACACACACACACACAGAGAGAGAGAGAGAGAGAGAGAGAGAGAGAGTAATGTGATTAACTTGTTGTTAAATCGTCTCAGAACAATATATGACTCTTGCGATGGAAGGATAAAAATTTCTGTGCGGGGCTTAAAGTTATAGTGGCGTTCCTCCTCCCAACGCTCGCCCGGGACAATTCTCTCTTCTCTCTTCAATAATTTTCTCCCGTCTGTCTTTTTCAGCATAACTACGCGTTTATATAGATAAACCCGGCTGGTTATAACTGACCCTCGGCCCTAGTACTTCGCACGCGATTATCACGGATTTCTGGCTGCTTCAACCAAAATCATGTAAATTCCAAAGTTCCTTTTAGCTTACTCAGCTCTATTTCAATTTTTAATCGATAAAAATTATTTCGACCATTTCCATTGTGTTCTGATGACCCAGATTCAATGGGTACAACTTCTGCCTTAGATCAGATTTCCCCATCAGTAAACAAAATGCTCTGATTTAATTTCGCTATTCAAATCTACTCAAATTTCACTAAAAAAATACGTGTGTGTGTGTTTCCCAGACTCTCTCTCTCTCTCTGTCACATCTTGGGAGTCGGTCCCAGATTGTAGCGGTTCGTGAGAAGAAGCGTGGTAGGCGGGTTTTAGCTGGAAAGGATGGAACTGGTGGAACTAAAGAAGGTAGTTTGTCGGAACACTTTCTATGGAAATAACTATAGAGAGGCGTGAGTCTTACAACATTTCATTTGCGTAAATGTGGTTGTAGGGGGAAAACAATTCATTATCTATCTCTATCGATAGTTCAAAAGCGTCTACTCAGCCTTGTGTTTGAACTGGAAAGATTAGACAGGTCTTGCCTATATATGGAAGCAGTACCCCATTTTCGACCTGATCTGACTCTTGTAAATGTAAACGATAAGAGAAAGAGTCAGGTACTTAGTGGCACGCTACAGGGAACCAACAATTTTTCCATCATTTTTAGCGATGGATCGTATGTAAGAGATCCACTTGAGATCTGGGCTGAGTTTAAGTGTCCCAATTGACGCTCATGGCACAGGTAAACTGACATCCGACTGTTCAATGAAGACTTCAAATGTAGCGAACAGCCTCTTGTCTTGAAGTTCTTTTGGACAAATAAAGTCACAACAGCACATATTACGTCATCATCACATCAATACCGGTTCACAGTCAAGTCTTTTTAATGTTGGGAAACTGATGATAATCAAATCAGGAGAATAAGGAGGATGGTCAAGCAGTCCAAAATGACAGTCATGCATAGCAGCCATTGAAACCAAGGACTTGTGTGCTGGAGCATTGTCCCGATGAAACAATTTCATTTTCCTCAGTTTTCCTGGATGTTTGCTCTTAATAGACTTTCGTAAGTGTCTCAGCAAGTTGATATATTACTCTTCATTGATGGTTTGGTCAATAAACATAATGCCTTTTTCACCCTAAAAAACTGAGACCATCACCATCACCTGCAGATGAAATGATCTTGGCCTTCTTTGGAGGGAGTGGAGGAGGGGTGTTTCTACTGCAGGATTGACTCTTTGTCTTTTTGTCTCTTTGTCTAATGGACACAACACTCATCCGGCTAGATATGCCTCAAACAAAGTCAGATTCTTCCCACCAACGATGTGATCAGCCTGTTGTACTTTTGATTAGGAGTTATAAGACGTGGCATCCACTGAGCTGAAACTTTCGCCAGAATATTCTATTGCCTATTTGATTTATAATCAATCGCCTGTCACTCATCACCATGTGCTGAACAATATCAATGTTTTCCACTATGATGGCAGTAGCAGGACATCCAGACCTTGGATCATTTCAAGGCTCTCCCTACCTCTTCTTAATTCATCTGCACACTTTTGCACTGTTGATCAAATGGGAGTGTCTTTCCCTAATGTAGTAACCATATAAGAATCAATGCCTTTGGAGGCTAAACCCTTTTCATACATGTACTTAATACAACGATACTATATTTTGTCCATTTCCAAGAGAAGCCGCTACTAGTTACTTTTGAAGTCTTCTTTGAACAATCAAATATTAGTTTAACTGAAATGAAACAATGCACTTATTAATAAGAGTTTAAATTAATGCATGCAAGATTTCACAACTCTAGCATAACCCATTCATAGCCAGTCTATGAAGTTTTCTGTCCACCCTCGTAGAAAAAGGGTTGCATCAAGAAGCGAACATTGGGGGACGCCTGCGTGATGTAATCAACGCAGACGTCGTCAGATGGCTGCCCGTTAGCAACTACCTTCAGGGACCTACCCTTTATGAAGGACTTGATAAATGAGAGAACTTGTGAAGCAACCCTCTATGTCGCATCTTGTCGAAGTCATTCAAAATATCTAATACGATCGTTTTTGAGTCGTATTTGTTGTCTAGTGCCTCACTTATTCTGCGAGTAATGTCAGGATATCAGCAGTGAACAGAAACGAATGAAATATATACTGTTTGACGCTCAAAGGTTTGTCCTTATTGAGGTGATCAACAACCTAAAAACGTTTGCTAATGGTACTAAGACGAGGATAAGCACTCACCTACATTCTAATAAACAGGGCGTACATTAGACACCTACTACACACTTGGGAAGGTTTACTTCAAGATTATTATTATTATTATTATTATTATAACTTTGAGAACGTACATAAAATGAAACAGACCATTGATTTGTTGATGATATCAAAGCAAAATTTGGAAGGGGAATAATTAGGCACAACACAGTAGAAATTATTTCCCTTGTCACATGCTTCACGATGACATTTTTTTTGTTACTTGTCTTTTTTTAGTTTTCAGGTTTATTATTATTATTATTATTATTAATAATAATAATAATAATAATAATAATAAACTAGCAATGCCCGTGAAAATTTCAGTTTTCTTATTTAAGTTTTCTTAGGAATTTTATTTTTTTAAGTTAATGATTGAATAATCTGTTTTTTGTGAGTTCCACAGCCGTAAAAGACGCGTGGAAACACCTCAGCCGCATGGTTATTTGATCTTAAGGACCTTAACATCAAAATATCACAATAATAATCATAACCCAAAATCTTCAGTTCGTTCGTTTCTTACCTCCTTCCTTCCTGTAGGTACCTCCACTAATTCTCGGGGAAAAAAAAAGCACAGCATGAGGAAAAAAAGGCCCCAAACTTAATATAAACAAAATTTTATCATCAAAATATTTATGTACGTACCTCCATGAGATCGCTAAAAAAGAATATAGCATGATGAAAAAGACGTCAAACTTGAAGAAAACAAAATTTTATTGACTAAATATTTATGTTATTATTAAGAGGAAAGATCAAAGTATTTGGGGGCTATTTTTTTTTTACATTTTTAATCGTTTCTAGCACGTCCGAAACTTTCGTTAAAAATCTTGTTTTTTTTTTTAGTCAGCAAAATTAACAGATAATCAATCATGTCAACTATTTTTTTCCATTTTATGAAAAAAAATCTCACTTTGAAATTCTTTTAAAAATCAATTATAATTTTTTCAAAACTTATTTTAAGAAAATCAGAAATTATAATGTTTATTTAAAATATTTTGAAACCAGCATTGTTTAGTTTCTGCGCCGAAAAAGTGAAAATTAAACAAAGCAGGTCATAATATTTCGCGTCACTTGACAGGTGATGAATGATATATTGACGGATTACGTGAGGCTAATTTGTTCTACGGAAGGAGAGAAGTGAAATTATTTAGATTTAAGTGAACAAATTATTTAACTCGTTATTTTTAAGGAAAACTTTCAGCGCTCTAATTTTTTTTTGTACTTAGCTTTCACCTTTACGTTTACGATGCTTTATGGAAAATATATCATAAAGAAATTAAAATAAGACTGTTAAGAGTGAGATTAAATTTCATATTTCATAAGAAAGGTATCTAACTAATACCTAATACCTTATGAAATTTTATCAGAAGTGTACCCCAAAATACTATAATGTCATGTACATTTATTACATTTTACTGTGTTATTTGTATTTCCATTCATTTTATTATTAATTTTGAT